AGTCCAGGTTTCTGCATCACTTCCCACATTGTCCATCCTTGATCTTGCTCCTGACCAGCCTTCCTGACCTTGTTCATGGAATGGTTTGGGCTGGAAGGGACCTAAAAAAATCATTCAGTTCCACCCCCTGCCATGGGCAGGGACACCTTCCACTATCCCAGGTGGCTCCAAACCCCATCCAACCTGGCCTTGGAAAAGAGGGGCAACTACAGACTTTTCTACAAACTCCAGCTTTCACAGTGGGTTCCCAGCCTGGATGAAAACCTCACTGTTTTGCCATATTTGAACCCCGTTCATTTTTCAAGGGGTCAAATCCCAGAACTTGGCTAGAGGAAAGCATGTGGAAGGAAAGCATCAGATTTTTGGGCTTTTCAATCAATCAGTAAAAAATAACAACAATTTTAAAACCCCATACCCAAGTGTGCTATCCTGTGATGTCTGATTCATCCAGCTCCATGTGCCCCTGCCCACAGAGGCTTCAGCACATCCATGACAGCCCCACATCCACAGGGAGCACCCAGGACTGCCCCAGTCCCAGCCCCAGCTCAGTGGGGTGGGAGACAGCAGGGCTCTGGCTCTGCTGCTGCCCTCACACAACAACTGCCTTATGGGTCCCAGTCCCAGTCCCAGCTCAGTGGGGTGGGAGACAGCAGGGCTCTGGCTCTGCTGCTGCCCTCACACAACAACTGCCTTATGGATCTTTCTGATGTCAAAGCATCAGCAAGGCTGGAAAATACCCCCAAGACCATCAAGTCAAACCATTAACCCAGCTCCACCAAATTCACCACCAACCCATGTCCCCAGGTGCCACATGCATGTGCTCCTTGAACACTTCCAGGGTTGGTGACTCCCAGTGCCCTGGGCAGCCTGTTCCAAGTCCTGAACGACCTTTCAGTGAAGACATTTCTGCCAAAATCCAACTCACACCTCCTCTGGTGCATCCTGAGGCCATTTCCCCCCACCCTGTCATTTGTTACCTGGGAGAAGGGACTGACCCCACCTGGCTGAGACATCCCTGTCTACAGTAAATATTAACTAAAGGATAAAATAACAACACAATCAAGACCCAGGGAGCTGTTGGGGAGCAGCTGATGGACATTGGTGCTGCCCTCCATGTGGCTGGAGAGGAGAACAGAAGTGCCCTTAGCAAACATCAGAAACCCTCAGTGTGAGAGGCCAATGGTGCCAAAACTTCCTGAAAGGAGCCTGGAATCGATGGAGCTGCTGAAGTGATGAACAGCCCTGAGCTTCAAACCTCCCATTTTTAACAGGTTCATCTCTTTCATTTCATAGGGAAAAGACAAACTTTCCTTTAAGGTACCATGTTGACTGTAGGGATGAAGTTTTAATTCCTGTTAATAAATGTTTTCACACATTTCCCGTGTGTTTCCCTGGGCAGGTTTGGAGATTTCTAAGAGAGTTCATCATTCTGCCAATTCTGCTTCTGAAAATTAATGAAAATTTTACCATTCCGTGGATGAAGCATTAGGCCAGTTCTGAACTCTAGGTTTTATTGAATTCTTACTTTGTTAATTCTCTGAGATGCTGACAGAATCAATTTATGTCTGAAAACCTCTTTGAGACTCCTAAAGCGTTATAACTCCAAATGACAAATATTTTTACTGTGAGTGATTTTTAAAAAGTCAGCAACTCAACAAGTTGTGCAGCATCTAGAACACTGAGATCCATTCTGATCAAAACTTATATTTATGACTTGAGTAGAAATATTAATTAAATTACTACTGTGACAGCAAAAACTTTATCTTTTTCATGCCTGAAATGATAAAATTTTGATATGTAAATTAACTTTTGTAATACAGTGGTCACTGGATTTTGGGAGAAAGGCCACAAAGCTTTGATTTTCACGTGTATTATTTACCAATTTTCACAATTTACCAGTTGAATATTTGTTTGAATTTGAATTTAAATACCAATATTTACCAATATTCACAATTACCAAATGAATCACTTGGTGAAGCACAGACACAACGTATTTTCCAAATCCATGGAATCCACAGTTGTCAATTTTCACACTGATTGAGGTCTCCCACTGCACCTCACATGTGGGATTGTCAGCAAGAGCTCCACGTGCCTTCCCTGGCTCTGCTAAGCTGGGCTGAGCCACAGCCTCACAACTGGGGATCCTCCACAAGGAAAGGAGCTACCAAAAATCCTTCTTCTACTTCTATTAGCATCCCATTAAAGCAAAAACCCCACCCAACACAATGCAGAAGCAAACATAACTCAATGGTATCTTGCAGGTAAAGAGAGGCATTGTGAATGGAAAAACTGGATGAAGAGCTGGAGGTTTGGTCCAAGCCTGCAGGTTTTCATTCTGCAGCTCCATCCCTGAAGTTGGCTGCTGCAGAGCTCAGGGATTTGAAGGCCAGGCTTCAATTACACTGGCCTGTTTACACACTTCTTTCTCTGCCTGCCCTTCTGCTGCCCCTGTGCTCAGATGTCATATTATCCTTATCAGCAGATTAAAAAACCTCTTTGCAGAAACACTTATCTGTATAATACCAGTGATGACACTTAAGCTTCAACTTTCCTATTTAACACTCCATGTGCCTTACTGATATCATTCTGGACAGATGAAATTATGTGTTCAAGACTTTCAGGGTCAGAAGAACAGCCAAAACAGGTTGGGATAATGGTCCATCCAGCCTAACCTCCTGTCTTCAATCTGTTTCAGAGGAATAGACAGAAATATCACAAAGTCATAGGATAAACCTCCACCAAATAAACTTTCCTCCTGTCACACAAGATTTATAGCCTCACTTAAGGTTGGATGCTTGACAGCTCCCTCCTAAAACTCTTCTTTATTTCTAGTATTTACTGTAACAGCTGGAGACACTCCTGTTGATGTGAATCAACACCAAATCCTTCTCAAAGCCTGACCTGAGGTATAATTTTTCTCCTGAGCTTAAAGAAAAAGAAAAAAAGTCCCAGAAAAAAACTTCCTTGTTCTTAATTTTGCAACTCCTCACTTCTTGGAACTTCTCCTTGTTCTGGAATTGTGATCCACTGTAGCCAATAACTACATCTGAGGTGGCTGTTTCTGAAATGCAGGACACAGCTCCTGAAGGGTCTCCAAATAGCAGCACATCCCCTTTAATCCTGATTTCACTGAAGTGAAAAAAGAAAGCCAGGCAGCAGATACTGAACAGTCCTGAACATACTTGCCATTTAATGCATTTAATCCTGCCAGGAAGATGCTGTCCTGCCACGGCTGGGTTCTCATTTCCACCTTCAATTAACACAGTACAGCTGATTCCACTTTAAAAAGGATAAAAACTGTGCACAACATTTCTGCCTTCACAGCCCACCGAGCAGAACATGACAGATGTTGAGATAACTGCTCTGTGTATGGCCTCGTTGGTGGCATGAACTCCTCAGTCTTAGGCACAGTCTAAGGAAAGGGGACAGACCCCCAAGCAGCAGCCCCAAGGATGGCCCAGGCTGCAGCAAGGTGTGGTGCCATCAGGGAACGTCGAGCAATATTTGCTAATTGCATTGGCACTCTGTGTGACCTTGTCAGGAAGGTAAAATCACTATATAATTATATTGGCTTCTTGGAATTTCCTGTAGGGATGTACTACTGTAACTTAGGTCAGAAAAGTGAGCAGGAAAATGCCATCATGACCACACAACTTCCGACCAGACCCCTGGGGGCAGCCAGAGGACAGTGACCACCCTCCCATCCTTCAGCTTGACTACAGCAAGATGAGAAACCTGCTAGAAATTAAAATATGTAAGGGCCAGGGAACCACTGAGGTAAAAGACTCTCTGGGGAGTGGAAATAGTTTGTAGCTGGACAGAAAATGTGCTCTGTAGATCTGTGTGGTCTTGCAGCACCATAGGAAGTTGTGGCAAATGGGGATGTTGGTGTAAAAGACAGGGAGACAAATGCCAGGGGTCTGGTCTTTACATTGTTTTTCAAGTAATGGCTTGTTCAAAAATTTCCTGTCTTCAAAGTATGCCTGATCACAGAGTAGACTTGTGCTCAGGGCATCCCGAGGAGGAGAGCTGATGTTAAGCCTGGGCTAGTGCTGCAGAGCTGCTCTTCACTGAGACACATGCTAACACAAGCTGGGGGCTGGTCCCAACATGGGAAAATGCATCAAATTCCCAGGATAAATGAAGTTCCAGCCAGCAGTCACCTCAAGGCTGGTAAAGTTGTGTTTACCTGGTATCTGTGGTATATATTCATTCCTAACTACCCACACACCCCATTTGTTTGAGAATTAGAATAAAGAAAATTATTAGCAACCTTATTTTGATGCATTCATTTTGCATTTTCCCCAGCTACTTTGCCTGCTGAAAAGATCAATTACCAGTGACTTCTGAGTGTGTGTGACCTTTTTGGAGGCTCAGCTCAACAACTCCCAGATTAGCAAAATTAATAGAAGATCCATTCCTGCATTTTGGTTATTTCTTAATACAATTTTATTGCAAAGTACCAGTTACCTGCCTGTGTTGGTAACTGGTGAGTGATCTCTCCCTGCCCTTTTCTGCACTCATGAGCTTTTTGTTGTATTTCTTCTCCCCTGCCAGCCAAGGAGGGCAGTGACAGAGGGATTTTGGGGGGCACCTGGTATCCAGCTGGGGCAATCCACCACCATGGGAGTGATACATGACAAAAAAAAAGGCAGAATAGCTCTGAATGAAACATTCAGTGAGGAAAGCAGAGCTATCTTTAATTATCCTAGCTGCAAGTATGCACAGAAAATCAAACTCCTGAAACTGCGAACCTGACTTTCCTTTCACTGAAGGAAAAGGTCCCTTTCAAGTATGTTTCAAAAAAACAAATTACAAACACCCCAGACATGAGACATTCTCAGCCAACTTTCATTGCCTGCGAGTGTTTTTACGGCCAACTCACAAACTGCTCACAGCAGGTTTGACACAGCAATGAGAACAGTCAGGACCTTTGCAGGAGCCACGGCTAAAGGTCTGAGCACATGGAGTTTACACTGAGCCCAGCCAAACTGAGCTCGCTGCACAGGGCCAGCACTGCCTCTGCAGATGGTGCAGGGATGCAGCAGTCAGAGCTGGGGGACACACTGAGCTCATGACAAAGCCATGGTGACAAACCTCCAGACACGACTACCAGAACACACACACACAGGAGCAAAAAAAGCCAGCCCAGACGTTATCACAAAACACCCAAGAACTGCAACAGTGATGGAAAGATGTAAAGAATCTGTCTCAAAATGCACCCTGGCAGTTTTCTCAGGCAGCCTCTCAGACTGGGAGCACCAGGGCAGGCAGAGCCCAGCTCAGTGTGTGCCCTGGCCCCTGCTCTCCAGTCACACGAGCCTTTAACAGCTGGGGCACCTAAACCATAACACAGAGACTTGATCTCTTTTCTCATTTCTTTAATGCTAGATGTGGAATTTCTAGGTTTAATTTTAACATAAATCTTTTAAATGTAATATATTTTTGTGTGTGTTTTGATAGCATGTATTTATTATTTCTTGGGGATCTACAGTTTTGTTTTCCCACCATGTTAATTATAGAATCAAGGAATGGGTTGGGCTGGAAGGGACCTTACAGCTCATCCAGTTCCACCCCTGCCATGGGCAGGGACACCTTCCACTGTACTGGAAGCTCTGTCCATCCCAGCCTTGGGCACTGCCAGGGATCCAGGGGCAGCCACAGCTGCTCTGGGCACCCTGTGCCAGGGCCTCACCACCCTCACAGGGAAGAATTCCTTCCCAAGATCTACTCTAAACCTAATGTGCTGTCCACTCAGCAGAACTGGTGAATAGAAGCCATTACAGCCAACTCCAGGCCCTTTGGGATCCTCAGTTTGTAGCAGCCTAAACACAACACACACACTCCTCAGATTTGGCTCTTAGATTTGCAACAGTGAGGATTCTACCAACAGAAACTACCTAGAAAGTCTATTTTCCACTGAAGAAATGCAATACTTCTCATGTTTAACTGGTCCATTTTCCAATGGTTTCTGTATTTCTTGGCTCTCAGTTCCATTGTCTTTTCCCACAAGCTCTACACGTGACTCTCTGAAGTTGACTTCAAGCAATATTTCTGATTTTCATGAAGGTGGTGGAGACCCCATCGTGTTCCATGGAAGACAAGGTCTCTGTGCTTATCTGGTACAGAGTTCTGCTGTCAGAATTCCCCCATGGAGCATCCATAAAAAACCTCCAGTCACTGAGAAAAGATAAACCCACACAAATTACTGGGCTTCACCACTGATACACTCAAATAGCTACTGTTCAATACAAGTCCTGGGAGAGTAAGTGGCAAATAAATGTTTTGGCCATTTAAAAACTATTTTGGGTAGCCATAACTGGTTACTTGTAAAATGAATACGTAAATGGCAGCCAAAAACTGGACCTCAGTGGAAGTTTCACTTTGAAATGAACATTCTGTCAATAACTTGCTCCAGGCCTTTTTCTGGCTTACAGCAAATACCATGTCTTTTGTCTTCCTGTATTTAAAAAACTAGAGGGCTCCCTCAGATTGTCACTGCAAATGGAATAGGGAAAGGTAATTCTACTGGTGGTTTCTGTCCCTAGAATGAAGCCAGGTTCCTGCTCACACAAATGTGAACATTTCAAAAGTTATGAATAAAATAAGTGCACACCCTCATTGCTCTTCTGTTTCCTGGAGTAATACTTACACTGCTTTTTACCAGAAAGTCAATTTATGCTGAAAAACCTATTATACACTAGCTATTAATCCTCAAACCCCATCTTATTTTAACCAATAGGAGATGAAAAGCTGATATCCAAACTATACAGCTATTTTGCTATAGTAATCCTAAACTGATCAGTCCATGCAGGGCCACAGAGTAACTACAGAAATGCTCAGTGCCATCAGTATTCCAAACACAGGCAGACAGGCAGATGTCCCATTGCACAGGGAATGCCAAATGTCTATCAATGAGATGTTACCATGGCCAGAAATAACCGAGGTAGGATGACTGAGTGGCTCCTTTATGAGACAGTCCAAGTGGGGGAAATATTTACTCTTCAAGTTGAGAAATCTAAAATCAATCTAATGTCACTTAAAAATAGGAGTTGCACTGTAACTGATATGCTGATCATAGAAACTACACAAGGAAGATGCTGCTATTTCTGTAAATACAAGGCAGTGCAAATGTAGTTCCACTGAATTCAAGGAATTCTACTCATTTATGGTAGATGAACATCTGGTCTTTTATATTTGGAGAAAGGTAGGATAAATACTACTCTACCATTCCAGCAGATTCCTGTTAACTCCTCCAACTTACACGGATTTACACCAGAATTTATTTTTTCTTAGGCTCTCTCCTTGAAAATCTATGCAGACATTAAAAAAAAAAAAAACTTAGCAAGATTAAAAGTAGCCAATCACTGAAGTTTTCTGAAAATTCTACTACTGGAAAACTACACAGACAAAATTCAAATGCACATTAGTGCTCTAAAACCCAGTTTCTATTTCCACAAGCCATTTCAGCCACCGAGGAGTCTGACATTTGCTGCCCCCCAAGAAAATTTAGGCCTGGAGAGATCAGCCCCCTTTTGCTAAAAGCCTCAGGCTCCCAAAGCCCTGCCTTTACAGATCTGAGCCACAGCTGAATGGTGAAGCTACCAGAGAAAATCTGGTCTTTACACCTTTTATCAGCTGCAAATGTCCATTCACACCAACATTCTACTACGTTGTGTCGAGGAAGCAGAGCAAAGAAAAAATATCCTTATCCTGAAGGCTGCTTGATTTGATGAGTAAGTACCACCAAAAACCTTAAATGCCTTCAAACTCCCCCAGCAGCAGTGACAGCAGCGATCTCCAGCCCTTCTGGCAGGACAGGTGGTGTGCTAAAGTGTCTTGTATTATCCTTCCTCACATCCAAGTCATCTGTTCCTTTACTGAAGAACACAATCCACATTGTTAGGTTTTGTGTGTGTCTGTGGTTTATGCAACATTTTGTGCTGTCTAATTGGTTCACCAGCAATTAAAAATAAACTCGTGGCAAAGCTCCACTTGCTGGTTTCACCTTGTCCCAAATGTGCTCACTGTGTCTTCAATAAAATCTATCACTGGGAAGGAGAGATTTTTCCCGTTGATTTTTTTCCATCATTTGGTATAATTATTCCTGACAATTTGCCCATCACACTGCAAGAGTCTCTCCAGAAGGAGAAAAATACTACTTTGTGTTCTTGTGATCACAAGTCTAATTGAGCGGAAAACAAATCTGTTAAAAAGAGAGAAAAAAAGAAAAGAGGGAAGAAAAAAAGGTAAGAATAATGAGAGATTGTGGAAAGACAAGCTAATTTTGCACTTGGTTAAAAAACTGTGATGAGCAAAAGAACAAGGAAACATACAACCAGCCACTTCTGGAAACGTGAATAGATTTTCTTCCCCTGAATTTCAGAGGAAGTCTCTGCAGCAGCTGCTGCTTTCATAGTGATGATGACACTCAGGTCCATTTTAGTGTGATGTCCAGGGCTTTTTCCTGGTTTTTAATGCTGCCTTTCCATATTCCCTGCAAGCAGGGGCCTGGCAGTGGCTGGGGCAGGGCACAGCTCTGGAGCTGAGTGGGCAAAGGCCCTTCCCTCTCATCTGGGGCAGCACAAGCGAGGGCCACGTGTGTAATTCATGCTGACAGGAAACATTAGCATTGCTGTACACTTTGTCAATTAAATGATGGTTTAATCAGCACAAATCTGAATGGTCAAATAATGTTATAATTAAAAGGAAATAATGGAAAGTGGTGTGGTGATTAATTAAAAGAACAGCAAGTACCAGCAGCACATCTTGTCTGTGATATCACTTCTCCCCCGCTCCACGCTGGCTGGGGTGGGGGTGGTGGGAGGCACGCTGACCTTGCAGCCTCAGAAAATCCATTTCAGAGCTCACATCCAGCAGCAATGGCAATTTTCACAAGCTCAAATAAATGAGGGGGAGCTTTGCCTCTTTACCTTCCCTGCAGTGCTCTTCAAAGCACTGTCACACACGATCACTAGTGACTCTTGACTTATTTTTTTGTCTTCCTTTACAAACAGGAGACTGGATACCTTTTAAACCCTGGACACCTTGACATGTATTCTGGAGCACCAGGAGATAATGCCCTGTGTTTATCTCCCACTGCCTGATGTGCTGATCAGCTCTGTCCATTTCCCACTGCCCTGGAACACAACAGCTCGTGCTGCAGAGTGTGATGGCTATTGTGACACTCAGGATCAAATACAAAATCAAATTGTGACACTCAGGATCAAATACAAAACCAAACTGATCACCAAAGCACTGCAGCTCTCAGGAGACTGCACTGCTCTGCAGATGTGCACTGTACATGGTAGGAAAAAACACACTGCAATGTCAGGAGTTATAAGATTCAAGAAAGAAAATAATTCAGTTTACTTGTGGTGGATGCTTGTCTCTGAACAGAAGTGATTAACTCCCAAACATTCTCAATATTAATTCCTCTAAAGAAACTTTAAAGCATCAGGGGTGTTGTAAGAAAGGTCCCAAATGAAGGCATACAAAATTTGAAACTGCTTTTTTCAGATGACAAAAACTTTAAAATCTGTGCTTGATTTGAGCTGGATGTGATCAAACCTTGGAATGGAACCTGCTGCTAAAGCTTGGTCTGCTGGGCTGTCATGGGATGCCAGCTCTGATGAGACTGCCTGGCCCCCAGCAGACCAAGGCTGGGATCACAAACCCCATCCTTTCACTCTGGGCCATCAATTCACCTCCTAAAGGTCGAGAGTCCATCAAAGCCCAACTCCTGGAACAGCACAGCCCCAAGAAGCACAGGCTGGGATGGTTGGGGTGCCCCGAGCAGGGACAGGAATTGGACTTTGATGATCCTCTGGGCACCTTCCAGCCCAGGATATTCCATGATCCTAAAAAAAGACCTGCTGATGGATGTGTTAAAACCAAGGAATGGAGCAGAAAGAGTCAGGCCAAGTCCTGTTCTTCAGCACAGGGAGAGCTGCCCCAGTGCCAGCACATTGCACCCAGCACATTTCCTGAGGTCCAGGGCTGCTCCACAACAGAGCTCCGGAGCCTCTTCACCCAAATTTGTCATGTTTTGCCTGATTACAGTGAAACAGCAACATGCACATTCAATCACGGGTAAAATGAGGGTGGGATGTTTTATTTAATATTTATACGCATGGCATACTGGCAAAATTACTGGCATCTGTATGTGTGTGAATGACTGTTTTGAGGAACATGTGTTGTATGCAATGCTGTTTATTATCAGTAAATGAAGCCAAAAGCTAAGTTGAAAATGAATGCTAAATTAAAAATTATATAAAATGGAGTGAAATGATTTAATTAGCAGATTATAAGTGACACGCTTTACTATTAGAATTAGCTTGGGAGGGATTGAGGGAAGGGAGGAGAAAAAAAAAAACCTTGACTAGACACAGAAGGGTGGAAAAACATTTCTTTTTCCTCTATCTGTGGAGTTACAAACACAGTAACATATTGTCCTGGTGTTTATAATCACAGAGTCTGCTGCCGTCACAGTGCTTGCTTAATGAGGCAGCCAGTTAGAAATAATGAGACTTTGAAACAAATTGTTCTCACTTCTGAAAAGAGAAAGAGAAAGATGTGTGGTACTCTAATACAGCGCATTTCCAGCGCCTTGCTAACATCTCTGTACTTAACTCCTCGTACTGCATCCCTCCAGTGGAATTTATGAGTGGAGAAATGTGTTGTAGTTACTTATAAAACCAGGAAGAAAGCACAGAACTCTATTTATTGCCAGGTTCTGCCTTTAACTTGTTGCATGACTTCATTAAAAAAGCATTGCCCTGCTGAATTAATTACCACATGTGAAACACTTTGAACATTTTTGTTTGGTCTCTACCTTCAAAACAGACTATTTCACTCCCATAATGATCTTCTATTAAAATTGTCCATTTTCTTTGCCAGCAGAAATTGATTTTGCTTCTCTGAGCCTCCAGGAGGAGCTGGGGAAGGAGCCCAGCACCCCTTGGGCCACGGGGGTGTCGGGAGGTGGGAATTCCATCCCTGCAGCCTGCACAGGGCAGCTGCAGCCCCTGGCTCCCCGGGCAGGCAACCAAGGCAGGCTTGCAGATTCTTCCCCATCATTTCCCTGGACACCCCACGTTGTCCCAGCACTCTCCTCCTCCTCCACACAGACTTTTCAAGCAGCATATGGAGCTCACAGCCCAGCTCCCCTGTCCCCAGCCTGCGGGTCCCCTGGGCTGCCTGTCAAACTCCCACTCCCTGCTCCCGGGGAGCGCAGCCATCCGAGCCTGCAGCGCCCTGAGAATGCTCAGTGCTCAACACAGCCTGGAAAAAACATCACCACACACAAGCCCCTCTTTGATAAAATAATCCTGCTTAAATTCAGAACCCACAAAACCATGACAACTTTGGTAAGCCTTCAAAACTAAAAGCCTTTAAATTATTTTCATCTCCAAACACCGAGCCAGCTTAAACGTAGATAGATGTATATGGGCAGCAATACTTGGATTTATTTTGGTGGAAAGCCACCGGCAGCTGCCCCTGGTGATCAGCATTACAAGGCTCCACTGCAGACCAGCATGGAGAAGTGACCCTGCAGAGCAGCTCAGCCTCACGGAACGCTGAAATCTTCCAGCAGCTCTTCCTGGAGCAGAGGAAGAAGGTGCAGGAGGAAGGTGCAGAACCATGAGGAGGGAGAAGAAAGCCCTCAGCAGGATGCAGTGAGCCAGGGCAGCCCTGGCAGGGAGCAGGGAGGCTGCCAGAGGGAAGCACAGGCAGCCCAAGGCTGCTCCAAGAGCAGAGCAGCTGCTGGCTGCTCACACAGCCATACGGCTGCTTCCCAGCCAGCAGGCTGCTCCCAGGGCTGAGCAGCAACTGCACTAAACAACAGACGGCAAATAATAACGGCTATATATTATGTGCAGATTAAAACAAAAAAGAAACAAAAAACCCCAGGTTTCCCGATTGAGCGTGCTTGCACCTTTCACCTACTTCTTGGTAGCTGTGATGCAGGACCAGGGGTTGAGTTATGGGAGCTCTGGATCTTTCTCCAAAAGCCAGAAAAGCCACAGTTTGCAGTCTGCACACAACACAACAACCCACATCACTTTCTAGGGCACCTGCGGGCATTGAGAAGCCTCCGATCAAGTTGCTAATTTGAAAAAAAAAAATATTGAAGAAAACAAGATGGAGAGTGAACTTAATAGAAACCACTTTAGACGTGTTTGCTTATAGAAAAAAAATGCAGGCTGGAACTGGGGGGGTGGGAGGGTTTTTTTCCTAGTCTCCCACGTACTCCTAAAATGGTCTGTGCATTGCCTGGAAGTAAATCAATACTAAGCACAGTCCAGGCGAGACTGCCATCTTACATGAAGCACTGACTGTAAAATAGACACAAAAGACACATGATACTCTCTAAGGTCCCCAGCAGCTATAATATCCATCCTTGGCAGCTCGCTTGACATTTCCTTGCCCTGCTTCCCAGTCCTCTTTCTTCTCCCTCCTCCCTCCCTCTCCCCCTCTCTGCTAACAGCCCTGCTCTGCTCTCAGGGGCTCGCCGACCGGGTGAACAGATAACAAACCTGTCAAGAAGGGTTTAGCTGGGGAATAAATCCTGCGCTCGCCAGGAAATGATGTGTACAATGGGAAAATACAAGGGATGACATGAGCCTTCCCTTCTGAGAGAGTGGCCAGGAGATGCTTAAAATGTTACAGCTCGTGCTAAATGGACATTGGGATGGCTGATTAGATCGTATCTCAGACCTTTCAAGTGCCTCCCTTCCTCCCCACTTCTCACTGCTACTGAAGACACACAAAGAAAGCAGACAAAGCCCTTCCCTGCTTCTACTCCTTAAAATATATATATATATATATTTAGAGGCTTGGCCATGAAGAAGGTGGGGTTGGCATGTGCTAAGCTTAAGGTCAAGGCTAAAATCTCTTTTAGTGGCAGGAAAGGTCACATGAAATCACTGAGTAGTTACAATTTCCATTTATAAAAGGGAAATATAAAAGCAAGAACCTTATCTTAGGGACTTAATACATGTCTTGGCTTATTACTGTTTTCAAAGGGCCTTTTGCACAAATCTGATTTGCACTGGTGCAATAAAGATTCATTATCCTTTTACACAGCAGCCTTTGCATTTCTGCTCAGGATTTAATTATGAAAAACAGAACCCATCCCATAAACAGATGCTAATCACAGTAGGAAAGTACTTTCATTTCAGAAACAAGGTAGCTCAGAAAGTTTGCTTGGAAGTTTGCTGTATCAGCAGGAAGAGCTATTAGGAAGGAGAAAAGGGAGGGAAGATGATTCCACCCTGCTCCCAGCCAGCATTTCCACACTGGCATCTCTGGGAGCTGTTTTTGATGGAAACAAGGGCAGTTCCCTGGGGCAGTAAGTTCCCTCTCCAGCCTGAAGAAGAACCTGTCTCCAACTGTTTCTTGAGATTCCAGCACTGGCTGCCTCAACCCAAACCCTCAAATTCCAGCCTTGGAGAACTGTGGGACCCGGGTGGAATCCTTGCTTTTGGTCTCCAGTACAGCAAACTGTGCAGCTGCTCTTCAGGACTGTTCTCTACATCCAAGCACACACACCATGGCTCTGGCAGGGGGTTTTAAAGCTGTGCCATCCACCACATGGATATTTTACAGAGCAGGAGAATCTTGCAAAATGACATTGCTGCCAGGGCACTTCCAGCCCTTGAAATCCAAAATGCTGGGTTTAACATTTTTAAAATACCTTTTTGAGATGCTGATACCACAGTGCTAGTGGGAGTCTAGTGCACGGATATTAGACAAATTGTGCCTGTTAAGTGCACAATGAGCAATACAGGGGAGACACTCTGGTGAGACAACTGTGAGCAAAGCAATGCCACTTGCACAGAGAATGCTATCCCCATAAATTCTAAAATAGTTCAGTTATCACAAATAAGTCATGGAATGGTTCCTTAAAGTTTGATGTAACAATCAGGAAAACATGGATTTTTGGTAACTTTGCACAAACTGGTGTTTAAATACACATTACAAAGTTAAATCCACTGTGCAGTAACCAAGTAGACAAAAAAATACAACTGCTTGTAATTCTTGTCAGTCAATGGCAGCACCAGTTTACTTTAAGCAATATATATAATAATATATCAATATAATATTTTATATATATATATATCAGCAATAATGATATATCTGCAGTAATATATCCAGTGTCTTCCAAGAGAAGCCACAGCCCAGGGTCCCCTGGTCACTGGCCAGCCCTGTCTAAGCAGATAAAACCATGGGAATGACAAAGGGCTCCTTGTGAATCAAGGCCACTCCTGGCCCAGACAAGTCTTCCTGTGCCTCTTCAAACTCACAGACAAAAACTCTCTTTGTGACATAACACCATGCAATAAACCTCGTGTGCACCATCTCAGAGGAACAACGCCTTCACTAATGATATCTTAATGAGGAAATGCACAGGCTAATTACTCTGTCTTCTAGCTAGTCTAAAAAAATCCTGCACCCAAGAAACGCAGTGTTGAAGGGCATTTTTCTGGAGTTTTGCTTTCTCTGTTTGCTTTGAGTTGGGGTTTTGTCCTCATTTTTGGTGGAGCAGGCAAGATTAAGCAGGAGTGCCACAGAAATGGCTTCAGCTAAGAGGAAAAGACAACTGCTGGGTAAGATCACATCTTCCTTTTTTATTCTGTGCAAGTCTTTCCTTAATTTGCAACTGGTATTTTAAGGAAGAGACACATGAAGTACTTATCTATTATTAGAGGAGTTCAGCAATATAATATGATCCTGTTTGTGCCCTAATAGCAACGAGTGATGGACTGGTTTGCCACAGACACCATTTTATTACTGCAGGGCCACATGTGCTGGGAGCTGCAGTGACCTTACACTCAGAGGTTCCCATCTTATTTTCTACTGCTAAGTGTTGCTTTTTTTTCCATTTCTGGAGGGGAAGAAGGTCACTTCTCACTATTACTGTTCCATTAACTTACACTGCAGCACACCCATTCTTAATCCAATAGCACCTTACATTGTGCCTTTTAACTCAATATTGCATTATTTTCTGAAGTCTTGTCCACACTGACCAAATTAATACCCGAGGTTCTGCAGTCATCAAGAGCAGAGCAGAGATGTTTAGTGAGAGCACTGAGGGGCTTGGGCATTGTCACAAATCCCTTTTCCTTTCACCTTTGCAGTTGTTAGCAGTGAGTGATGGGCCCCCACACCTCTGCAGATCTGCACTGGACCTGCATTCTCATTCTCAGAACAAACATGCCATTCTCCATGACTGCCTGAATAACGCTGATGCCTCACAACTCTTTTAACATACATCAGACAAGACAAAACTTGCATTTTAGTGATGTTGCATTTGAAAAATACCACAGTTGGGTCAACGTGCTGCTTGGAGCCAGTGGGAATATGTGGGAATCCTGGCCACACACATTTCTGGGGCTCAGTGTGGGACAACTTTTACTCTGGCAAACAGTGGCTTTGCTCACCTGAAGGAAGAGACACAGCCCTTACCTGTGATTCATGCATCACTGGAGCCCCTCAGTAACACTGTCAATATGATTTTATCTAGCAATTGGTCTAGGTGCAAAAAGTGGCTCTGGTTCAACTTGTCCTGCCATTTCTAATTTATCTTCTTTAATAAATAAATAAACAAATAAGCAGAGATGTTTTATTTAAGAATCTGATTCTAGACACATCAGTGCATTAGCACACATCCCTGCAGATCCAGCCTTTTCTGATTGAATTCTGGATCATTTTTACTCAGTGAATGGAACAGGAGAAGTCCAGGATGCCAAGAGAATAATACAGTACAAGCTGGTGTTATGATGACATGCTTCAAATAATCCCCTGCCAAAACGAAATTTAATTATAGCCATTGTTTGTATTATTCAAACAACTATTGACAGTAAATCTATCCAGCACAACGTTTCCTCTTTGTATTCACTGCAGCCTTTAGACTGGAAGGGAAAAAAAGAAAAACTAAGGAAAAGGAAATGTTCTCCCCCCGTACTCCTTCCCTGCTATCAGGCTACACGAGGCCACTGAAGCCCAGTTGATTTCCCAAGTCCAATTATTTTGCAGTACACAATCCTCCAGAACAGCACAGCTCACCTGGGGACCCGGGCTGCCTAAACACAGCACACTTAATGGAGTCCCTGAAGTTGGCTCCATTTCATTGCTTCTAACTAATAGGCTGGGATAGTTTTTTCCCCCAAACAGACCAAGGATCTTCCCACTCCCCTCGCCCATCCTCCACACAAAATCCAAGTGGCTAACGAGGCATGGAGACACCTCCAGTGTGAGCCTCCACTACCACCTGCTGACTGTCTGCAGGGCTGAGCAGCACAGCCGCTCACCTGTACACCTGGGAGCCCCTCCTTCATCACCTGGGAGCTCCTCCTTTATCACCTGCACACCTGGGAGCTCCTCCTTCATCACCTGGGAGCTCCTCCTTCAGCCCCTGCTCCCATCACTTTTGGGTTTCTGTATCATCTCCCTTTCAGTGCCTGTCTCAGCCAGCCAAGGTCCAGTTATGAAGCATCCATTCTCGAAACAAAAACATCAATTAGAACACTAAAAGTGCCAATGTTTGCAGGTGCTGAGGTTCAAAAGTAGGAGGATTTCGAGGTGAACTTTACTGTCATATTTAGAAAGCCCCACACAGCTGCTAGGGACACAGTACTTCTCACTGAGGAGTCCAGGCAGGGCTGGAGCTGAGCTTTGTCATCTGGCACTGGAAGGCAGATTTTACTCCTGCTGGGGCAGGGTGCAGTGACAGTTCCCTTACACATCAGGCATCCACAGAAAGCAAACCATAATCCTTTTTGTTTGTTTGTTTATGGAGTTTTTTTGTTGTGTTTTTTTTTTTCTTTTTTTGTTTGTTTGTTTTTTAATTTTTTTATCTCTTTTCGATTTTTTGTTTGGGTTGGGTTTGTTTTGTTTTGTTTCTTGGGGTTTGCTTATTGGTTTGTTTTTATTTTCCCCTCTTAAAATACTATCCTGAAGTTTTCTGGAACGTAAAATGATGAAGTGAGGGAAAAAATCTTCACATGCTTTCACAGGGAAGGGCTGACCCTCTGCAAGGCCAGGGCTGGTGACAGAGCCCTGGGGGACAGGAGGTGACACAGCCTGGCCTGGGAGGATGAAACCCAGATTAGCCTGGTCTGAGCTCAGAGCTGGACTAGAGACTGCCTGGAGTCCCTTCAGCCTGAATTATTCTGCAATTCCCCAACTCCTTCCAGCAGCAGACAGGAACTGCCCTGATGGTTCTGGAAAACAACAACTGAGAGATGCCAGGGCTGCTGGGAGGGCTGCAGGGGCACAAAGGCTGCCAGGGCACAGCCAGCCCTGGTTGATTCTGTAGAATCAGCTCCAGAGCAGGAACCTGTGTGAACACAGGAGCTCCGAGGGGACAGGAAAAGGCAAAGGCAGCTCCTCCTGTGCCTGCAGCTTCCAGGGTCACTGTGCTGGCAGGACACGGCAGGCAGTGCCCTGATCCCACGGAACAGGGACACAAATTCAGGATCCCTGAGGAGCTCTCTCATCACTGGCTGCTGCCTGACAGCTCTGCTGCACCACAGCTCTGCAAGGAGCTTTTGGAGAGAAAGTAAGGAATATTTTGTGGTCAGACTGTGATGGTTTAAGGTATTTGCCGTTCATTAAATTTTATCATTGAATTACATAATTATTTTTAATAAATATGTACAGAGATGTAAAAATCACACTTCTTTATGACAAGAAGAAAACCCATCCTGGGTCACTACACATCTGATCATCTAGCAAAATTTCTAGCTTGATAATCTCTTGTGAAAAGCAGGCGAAACACTTCCATTTCCTATTTTAAATTCAGCCAAAATATTTAAAATCATCAGGACTGTGTCATGTGAGAGCTGTCTACACAAGATCTGAGCAAATAAACAAGGTTTTGGAAATGAATGAACCCACACTGAAGCAATGAAGAAAACTAAACCACCAATGCATTCATTCAACCTAGGACAGTGGTTTCCTATGTTTTTCTCCTCAGTAAAGGACAAAATTCAGCAGACAGAGGGATGATGGAGGTAACAGGAGGTCTCACAGCTCCCAGTACTCCAGACACCTTCACCAGTGGGCGTCTTCCTACAATAAAAAAATGTCATATCTCATTTTATGTAGCCTGAAAGCTGTCTAGGTACAGTAATTATCTTTCCTAACAGCACTGAATACAGTGGGACCTTATTTTTCTTCAGATCTTAAAGAATGCAAGTGAGGATGAGGGGTGGGAAATTGAGCCCATCCCCTCCCTGCTGGAGGCAGTGTGACAAGGGAAGAGGCAATGCTGTGTCCCCTTCTTGCTGATAGGAGCAAAGGATCTCAGCAGAAAATATTCTGGACCCATTCAGTCTATTTCAGTTATTTGGAAAGGTTTGGGGCTAAAAAAGTATTCTAAAACAAACCAAAGCAAAATGACATTGGACAATTCTTCTTTTACTTTTGTTTTTTAAACTTTCTACCATCCTCAAAAGACTTTGAAATGTCTGTTAGAAAAGAGGACCAGGGCTACCACCTTCATAACAAAAATATAAACATTAACAATATCCAATGTACAGCCACAGGAATACATAGAGAATGTGAGCAGAATCTAGCATCAAGGAATGGTTTGGGTTGGAAAGAACTGAAAAACTCATCCAGTGCCACCCCTGCCATGGCAGGGACACTTCCCACTGTCCCAGGCTGCTCCAAGCCCCAATGTCCAGCCTGGCCTTGGGCACTGCCAGGGATCCAGGGGCAGCCACAGCTGCTCTGGGCACCCTGTGCCAGGGCTTGCCCACCCTCACAGCCAGGAATTTCTTCCTAAACTCTAATCTGAAACCACTCTCTTTCAGTTTAAAGCCAACTGAGCTTTAGTCCAAAAAATCCCCTGTCCCCAAGGTAAAGGTTTTACCTACTGCACACATAAACCTCCCATCATCATGGCAATCTTGAAAAAATATTTGCTTAATGCCATCACAGGAGTTAAGGATGTCAGCTCTCTGCTCCACATACTGAGTTTCTGAACACTGGCCAAAATTACAGGAAACATTTCCATGAAATTTGAATCTTCCAGTTACCACAGCCTGGTAAAAACAGCAGAATTCTTTAATGTCTAGGTGTAGCCCCATAAGTAAATACTGGGATCTTCAAAAGCTACCAACAAACTTAATTTTTAGGTGTCAGGCCTTTGTCACAAACCAGAAACCTCAGTCTTAACTGTGGTATTTTTGGCAGTTTTCTTAAACCTGAGATGTCCTGTATCACTAATCCCATCAGAAATTCTCTGCCAGACTCATGGGACACATTGTGAATGCTCCAGGCTCAACTGAGTGATCAACTGTGATTTTGGAACAAACGAAGCCTTGGCTCTCTCATGGCCCTTTAGAAGTGGTCAGTGCTTCTCTCCCTCTGCCAGGCTCTGGTAACATCACTTTGATCTGTTTGTCTTTCAGATTTTGCACTCTTAAACTGAGGATGATGTTGAGGGACAGCTATGACTGGGTTTCTCAGAATAACCTGTGCAGGTGAAGCCCTTGGGTGGAAGATGTGCTGAGAGATGTGCTGTGGATGGGCTGAAGGGAGCACGTGCTTTCATCTGTTTTGGTTTGGTTTTTTGGGATTTTCTTGGTAAGAAGCTTCTTCCACAGAGGATCTTACACATCACTGCCAGCATCCCACCTCCCCCAGAGAGGGTCCATTTCCCTGAGGAAAAGGGGCTGTGCTGTCCAAGTGTGACAGCACAACATCCAGACTGAAAACCCCTCCAACCAGAGATGTCTTCAAGGCTTGCAGTCCCTCCTAAGTTCCTGTACTTTGTCACTTAAAGCACGACATGACAGGAAGGTTTAATCACACTTGACATTTAGCTTGAGGTACAGTAAGTACACCTAAATCACCACTTTGGCCAAAAGTGGCTTTGATGTTCCCATGGGAGACAGTTATTGTTGCCTTCAAAGGTTAAACCCTGCCTAACTCCAGAGGTGGAATGACAGGAGCTCAGGGATGAGGCAGGAAAGCCTCTCCAGCCATCACCTCCAGAATTTCTTCCACCCAACATATCATGACTGTAACAGTAACCTGCAAATATATCCTTTATTTGAAAAGATTTCCTGGAGAAGGGAGAGCTTTCCTGCTTTGCAGACACCAGTGTTACTGTGCTTTTGCAGAGCACATATTAAAATGCATTAAGACAGAACTAGGGTTGTCTCCATGTTATGCTGCTATTCTTAAGCTGTTATGTTACTAAGCCACATTGGCATTTTTCAACTTCCCTTTGATGTTCTCTCTATTATCTTTTTATAGCATAATCACACATTTTGGTATGTCGAAGATCAAAGGGAAGCTGGAGCTTCTAAGGCTAAGCCTGGATATGGGGCCTGTAACTAACTGAATTCATTATATTTAATAATATTCTCTAAGGAATGGCAGGGTGAAGTCATATGAAATAATAAACATGAAGGTAAATAGTGAAAAACTACTGGAGTAGGTTTAATGACAGTTTTGTTTTATGCTACTCTTAAGTTCCTGCACCAACCCTGTCACCCTGCACCACAGGAGTGATGAGACTCACTGACACTCAGGCCCTGACACCTGGCTGCAACAGCTCTTAATACTCCAAATTCTTCACTTTAACAGCTCTCTCACCTAGAATTATAGAATTCTTAATAGACTGCGATACTCTTACAGAGATTGTTTTGAACAAATGTTCTGCACTTGATAAACAAATTGAGGCACTTAAAAATATTCTCCAAGTTGACAGGTGTAAATAAGAAAACAGGTCTTTGTAAAGAACTTAATTCCTTTAGGCGCCCTGGAACTCCTATGTCAAAAATACTCATCTTCTGGCAGGCTTGGTAAGATTAAAATTAGTTCTAGCTGGCGTCACCAGAAAGCTATAACACACAGCTGAATGACAGTCAAAAAGGTGTAAAATTCTCTTCTATTTTAGAGAGGACAAAGAAATGTATTCTAACTTGGTCCTTGTAGCTGAATGCTTACTGATGAGTGAAAGTGCAACCATATCAATTACCTAAGCACTGGATTTCAGCAAACAGCCCTGCATTGCACAGCCAGGTGTCATCAAGGGCTTGCTTTTCACACTTACAAACTGGAAGTTAATCTGAATAAACTTGTGAAGAGTGTTAACTGAACAGTGCTACAAACTCCTGGGCAGACACAATTGCTAAGGACAGCAGCTTTCCTCTGGCTAGAGATTTCTTGGGGTGTAACCCAAGCAGGGTGAGGAGTTACTCACTCCTGAAGTGCAGTGACCAGCTTGACAGAACTGCTCCACTGGCCTGTTCCAGAGGGAAATGGGACAGCTCAGAGTTCATCACCTTCAGGGCAGCCTAAGGGAACTTGCCTCAGTCTCCAGAGAGAGGGGCTGGAAGCTGTGCTGCCAAATCTTTCAATTCAGCAATAGGGCCAAGAAAAGGAGGGGTGGGAGAAGCAGCTCTTCCAGGGCCTGTCAAAAAGTAAGAAGTATAGAGAAATTAGGAAATGGCTGTCCCCAGTTTCTGCAGGTTTTGGACTATAGCAGTAATGGAAGTATCAGCATGGGGAGACACAAGACATGAACGTGGGGCAGAAATGGTTTCTCTGGAGCCTGAAACAACCTGGAATGGCTTCATGGGTGGCACCTGCCAGGTGGGAATAGGTAATTTCTTAAATGATCCCAACTACACTGCAAGACAATACCTGACAAATGTGAAAGCTATTTAGGATGCAAACACAACTGAATTAACACTGTTCTAAACTTAAGTAAGGGTCCACCAAGGAGCTTGATGTGGCTTTGCCAGCACCCTTCTGTGTAGATCACACTTCTCATTGTAACCTCCTAGAGTCTCCTTACAGCCAAGCCCTAACCTGGAAACAACTCTGCCCTTTCTCCACGGGCATTTCAGGGACCAGAAATCACCTTCACGTTGCTCAGGCAAGCCCTACACTTGCAGCAAGAGGGCAAACAGGATTCTGCTTGGCAGAGGCAGCCAGGTTCTGGCAGCAGCAGCTGCAGACCTGCTGAACTGCAGGACTGGGGAATCCAGGTGGAACTCAGCCAGGACAAAGGAGAGAACCACTGGTTCCTAAACTCTAACAACCAAAAGCCATCAGGCAATGCAGTGCAGTCCAGCAAATGAGAGATGTCACCTGCAGAAAACGATTTGTGCTGATCTCTCCCTGTGTGTAACTGAAATTCTTGGTAATTATTGGCGAGATGAAAAGCTCATGAAACTTTGGTGCTATTCTGTTAGCCTGAAGTTTCTTCTGGAGCCCCATAACCAATTATGAAGACTATACTGATCTAGGGTTTAGAAAGCAGCTTAATGGCAGAAACAAAAAGAAGTTTGTTTTTTATTACACCAATTACACAAGATCTATCCATATCTCACATGGATATGACACATGCAACTTTTTCCTTGAGTTTTCTTGAGAAAGCCCTTGAGTGCCTTCTAATACCCCAGCACACTGCACACACTTGGTTCTGTCTCAAAGCTTTTAAGATTCAGAAACAAAGAATAACCAAGAAATCAGCTTAATACCCCCAGGGGGGAAACTGCTCTCACCCAGGGCTGCTCTGGCTTGGACACAAAACCATTGGATCCCCAGGTTCCCACAGCTCTGAGGGCTGGAGTTGGCCACTGAATCCTGTCCCAAATGTTGGGATGCTCAGAAATGGTGAGAAATCCAGAAGGAACTGAGGGTTC